TTGTAAAAGAGTAGGTGCAAAAGATAGTGAAGAAGGAGAAAGAAACAGAGCAATAATTAATGATATGTATGCTGACTTTTGGGAAAATAAATTGCCAATTAATGACATCATACCCAAATATTTTGAATTCACTGATGATATAATGGCATCGGATCATAACATCGCCTATACCAATATTAGATGCCGAAATGTAGCAAGTGAAATCAGAGAGAGATTAAACATACATGCCAAGTATGTAGTGGGTGATATTTTAATTGCCAGAAAGTGGATTAAACAACCCAGAGTTAATATAAATTTGAGATACAGGATTACAAGTATACAAGATGATGAATTAGGAAAACAAATAACATTACAAAATATAGCAAGGGGAGAAGATAAATTTGTGTTGTTTGAACCTATTGTAGATGCTAATTTTATATATTCGTATTGTGCTACTACTCACTCATCACAGGGAGCAAGTGTAAAAGAAAGCATGACAATACATGAATGGAATTTACCATTTGTAAGTAGAGAGTTTTTATGGACAGCCATTACAAGATGTGTTGATTTTAGGAAAGTTAAATTTTATTGTAATCCAGACTTTGATAAGCAAATGGATAAAAATATGATAATGAGATATTTTAAAAACAAAGTAGAAAATTATAAGATACAAGACCGTCGCGCTCAAAGAGAAATTAATGAGGAAGAATACATTAGTGCCGAATGGTGTTTATCACGGTTTCGCGCCAGATGCCAAAAGTGTAATACTTCATTTAACTTTGAAACGAAGAAAGGTAAATTATGTAGCAATTTTACTTGTCAGCGCCTTGATAATTCAATCGCTCACCATATAGATAATTCAACTTCATTCTGTGTATATTGTAATGTTTCAGCTCATTAAGATTTTAATATGTTTTATATTAAAATCTTAGTTTTAGACTAAAAAAGGTTTAAAGAAATAATACCTATATATAGTAGAGAGTAATGAAGGAACAAGAAGTAAATAATTATATCAATAAGAAATGCTATGACTGTTGCCACTTCAAAAAAGAACATATGGAATTATACAAAATGAATTTACCTAATGGAATAGTTAATAATATTATTGATTATGCTTTGGGTGAAGAAGATGAATGTAAAATTTGTCAGGAATGGAGAAATAATCAAGAATTAATCAGATATCATTTAAATTTGGAAAGAAGAAATAATAGAAATGTTGGAGATGAAATTTTGATATTTTTAACTGTGTATGAAAGACCACCTTATAGTTATGTTAGAATATTTCTCAAAATCGGTAAGAAAAAGTATGAAATGATTAACCACATATTATGGATGTTGTTGAATCGTAGGAGAGACGGGTCTGATTTAAAAGGAGACATTAAATCATATATTGAAAGCAAAAAGTTTAATGTGAAAAATACCGTGAGAGATATCAATATTATTTTTGAACTGATGCATGACAGACGTAAGATATATACACAATTTAATAATCATCAATTAACTTATTATCCTGAATTTAAATTATAAATAATATTATCAATATAATAAATCTTAATTTATTATATGGATAAACAAAAAATAATTAGTGATATTTACTATGACAAAAGCGGATACGGTAGTAAAGGAATAACTTTGAAAGATGCCAGACAGAAAGATAAAACTATTACTGCGGACGATGTTAATGAGTTCTTTAAAAAGAATGTTGAGGAAAAAAGGAAAATGCGAGGGCAGAATAGTTTTGTTGCTCCTCATGCCTTCTGGGAATTTCAGTTAGATTTGTTCTTTATTTCAAAAAATGATTTGGAAAATCAAAAGTTTAGAATTGGATTAATATTAATTGATATATTTAGTAAATATGCTACTGTAATACCTATTGCAAGTAAGCAACCGCCAGACGTATTAGCAGGAATAATGGAAGGCATTAAGAAAATGGGCGGAAAACCCAAAATGATATACAGCGACGAAGAAGGCAGTTTGTTTAGTTCTACCATTACAGATTATCTTGATGAGGAAAAAATTGAATTACACACCACGAGAGGCCACCCTGCTTTTGGAGAAAGATTTATTAGAACCTACAAAGATATGCTTTTTAAAAGAGTTGATGCGGATGAAAAGAAAGGTAAAAACAATATACAATGGATAGATTACAATTTAGAAATATTATTGACATATAATAATAAATTAGTAAGTTCCGTTACGAAAATGACACCATTAGAAGCAAGGAAGAAAAAGAATGAGTTTGAGGTGAAACTGAATATATCAATGAATGCCAGAAAAACCCGTGTGTATCCTGATTTAGATGTATCCAGTCAAGTAAAAATAATGAGAAAAAAGGGAATAAGCGAGAAAGCACATACAAGTCATTGGTTAAAAGAAATCTTCACAATTGAAAGAATAGAAACTAAATTGGGGCAGAAATATTACTATGTGAATGGAAGACCCAAACCATTATTGAGGCATGAATTGCTGAAAGTAGATTAGAAAGAATGAAAAAGATATATAAAGAAGAAAAAGGATAATATTATATAGATATGTGTAAGTATGAGAATGGCAAAATATACAAGATATTGAATTCAGTTGATGATGAAATATACATTGGTTCAACTGTTGAAAAACTATGCCAACGAATGGCGAAACACAAGGCAAAAATTGAGCACAAACCGCAATACAAATTGTATCAACACATGGCACTACATGGTAAAGAAAAATTCTACATAGAACTTGTGGAACTATTCCCCTGTCAAAGTAAGGAAGAATTAAGAGCAAGAGAAGGAGAGTGGATAAGGCAAATTGCAACTTTAAATGATAAAGTGGCAGGACGAAACCAAAAACAATGGTATGAAGACAACAGGGAAGGATGCGCCGAAAAAGCGAAGAAATACAGAGAAGACAACAGAGAGGCAGTGCTTCAAAGGCAAAAAGACCACCGCAATGCCAATATTGATAAAGTTAGAGAATACGACAGGCAACGATACAAGCATGACCCCGAAGGGCGCACTGCGCATATAAAGAAGTGGAGAGAGGCAAATACAGAATATGTGAAAGAACAGGCAAAACAGTGGCGAGAAAACAACAAGGAGCGGAAAAAAGAGATGGATAAACAATGGAGGGAGAGAACCCGCCAAGAAATACAATGTGAATGTGGCGCAAAACTATGGAAGACAAACCTCAAAAAACATCAACAAACATTAAAACACAAAAAGGCAATGGAAGAGCAAGAACAAGCAAACAGCAACTGAATAAATAACTAAGATAATATATTGATTATCTTAATTATTATTTAGAATTGTAGTTTTAGACTAAAAGGGTTTAAAGACAAACTGCCTATATATATTAGTGAAAATGTTCAGTGAAATTGAGCAAGAAAATATTATTAATGAATTATTGAATACAATTTATGTAAGTGATATGTGTAAAATTATGAAAACTAAAATCAAAAATTGCCCTTGTAAATTAGAAGATAACAAGGTTGAATTATGTAAATTAAATTTACCTCATAATATTATCAATGATATATGTAAATTTAGTTATCAAGAATGTGAAGACTGCCAATACCTAAGGAGACTACCTAAAATTGTTGAAAGAAAAAACAAATGTAAAGCAATTGATGGTTTAACATATTTGTTTGTTAAATGTAATTTCTTTCCAGATAAAAAGGTATTGAGAGAGGAGTTTAACTTTTCATTTAAAAGGATAGACTGTCTAAAACAAATTTATCGGAGAATAGGTAATAATGATGTAGATATGGTAATTGGCATTATTAAGTTGGAGAAATTCAACTTGGATAGAACAATTGCTGATTTTAATAAGGTTATACAATATATGTATGACAACAAAAGGCACCGAAAACATTTATGCTGTAATCAATTTGTGGAATGTCCTGTGTTTAAAATACCACCTTTTGAAGAAGATTAACCCATAAACCTTACAATAAAAACATTGTAAGATTTATGTTCATGCTCTTTGAAAAGAAGCTTTGGAATGTTTCGTTGGTGAGTGTTTTGTAATTGTCTATTGTATGGTTTGTTGTTTGGTTTGTTGTGTGGTTTGTTGTTTGGTGGGTTTTTTCGGGACAGGGTCTTACCCAGACCTTGATATGTTTTGTGCCTAAAACCATTTAAAGAAATGTTCTTTTACTATGGTAGGAGATGAACGACGATATGAAAAAATGTAAGCAATGTGATACTACATATTCTTCTGATTTGTTTAAGAATATGATTAAACTTTGTGATTACTGCCGAGAACAAAACAGATTGAAGAGAGAGGAAACCAAAAGACAATGGAGAATTAACAATCCTGAAAAAGTATGGGAGAAGCAACGCAGATACAGAGAGAACCACCCTGACAGAGTACAGGAAAAGAACAGGAAATACAGAGAGAGCGAAGCAGGGAAAGCAACAATACAAGCAAACCGGCAACAGGTTCACTATTGCGAATTGTGCGATTATGAAGTTAAAAAAGGTAAGAAGTCTCAACACGAGAAATCTTTGAACCATCAATATTTTTTACAGAAAAGTTTGAACGGTGAAAAATTGGAACGACCGGATAGTAAAGAAATTGTAAATGGTGTGTTGTGGTTTAAATGTTTGAAATGTAATAAGAAGGAAATTTATTATTCTTGGTGCGACCATGTATCAAGTGAAGGACATATCAATAAATGTTGCGAAGTTGATTGAAATGGTTTAAGTTATTCTTTAAAATGAATAACTTGAAGCATTTTATATAGATTTTGGCGAGTGGTTTGATTATATGCTGGTGTGGCGCGGGGAGGGTAGTAAGAGATGAGGTCTGGGTAAGGTCCTTCTTGCTCCCCCACCCCCCAGCCACAAATCCCCTCCCAAAAAAAATGAAGAACAAGTCAGGGGGACCTTCCCCGTTTCGATAACTTGGGTGCTCCATTCGGGTGTGTCCTTTTTGAGGTACCCCTTATTTTGTGGCGTTTAAAGGAAAAACCAAAATGAAAACCACAATTTTCAGGGAGTTCCCTAAAACATGACTATACCAATTTCTGGCAAGGCCACACGGCGGAGGCGTCCACTTTGGCTTGCAGGGTGCGGCGCAAGATGACCACCAGCACAGGGCCAAGCACAACGGACACAGCCAGACCGATCAGCCACATTTCCGTGTTCCTGGTGCATCTCCTGGTGATTTTTGTGTTGGTCCCGGACCCTTTGGTGGACATCGTAGTCGGGATTCATGCCCACCAATCACTTTTGAGGTGGTTCCAACTCTTAAAATTCGTGGGCTTGATGGGGATGTCATGGTTTCGGTGTCCCTTTGTGGCGATGGTTTCAATGGAAACCCAACCTTTGAAGAGGAAATTCAGTGAGCGCGGACGGGGAGGGGCAGGTTGGGGGTTGGGGGTTGGGGGTTGGGCCTGCTTTTGTTGATTGATATTCTTTCGCTCCATTCGAGCACCTGACGTGCAGGGAAACCCATTTGTTGACCCCAAGGTGGACGATATGCGAAATCAACCAGCATTGGGTTTAAGTCTACCTTGGGTGCTGTAGTCAAAAAATGGAAGCATCAATGCGGCTCCTTGTTGTTTGTCATTTTGTGATACCCTTGGGCAACCCACTTTAAAGTGATACAGCTTGTTTAGGTCGCTGGTTGATACTCATCGAATCTAGGGTCTTCGAGCACTAGAAGGGGGTAAATGGGGGACACGGATCTCTGTGAGAAGGGTTGGTCTCAGGGGTCAGACCCTGGACCCTATGGTCCACTGTATGGTTTCATGAAAGGAGGTGCTTGAAGAACATGGAGCTGTGGGTGTGGGCGAGAATTTTGCCTATCTCGCAGTGGGATTCCAGTGACCACTTTGTCACTTCGGATTCAAGCTTTCATTGCTCGACTAATTTAGATGATCACACAGTGGCGGTTGATTTCAACAAAAAGGGACACCAAAACCACGACTTGCGCGGACCTTGGGCAACAAATGGGTTTCCCACGACGCTTTCCGCAATCGGACATGCTGGCATTTCTCCGCGGAAGGTGCCAACGAAACCACCTGCCAAGGGGAGATGAAGGGAACCTCCTCCAATCCAACCCGTCGTGCCTGTCACATTGGGTTGTCTTGATGCCCCCCCAGCTATCGCTGTCGCTGTCGGAATCCTGCGGCGGGTCATGCTCATGGCTCCCTTCACGGGAGCCCTTACGAACCCCAAGTAAAATAGAAAGGATGCTCGAAGGCCCCTGTCTTGCAGTGCAACGCAAAACATAGGACCTGCAGAAATGTGCCAAAGCCGATCAATTCCAAGGATCCGGCTGCGCGCATATTGAGTTATTGAAGTCAGAGTTGCAGGTTATTACTTATTGGGTGCATTAGTTCTTGAATCTCTTCATCCAATGGAGCGGAACATCAAACAGGTTCCGGGCAAGGAACATGAGCAGGGGACCCCGCCTCGTGAGAGCATCCGCTTCTGTGTTTCTTTGGCTGGCCCCAACCCCCAAGCACATGTTCTTGCAAGCACCCCTACCGGTCCCCAGTCCCTATTTGCAAAGTGCCAGCATACCTGATGTGCACAGAAACTATTCCTTGCTCTTGCATGTGATTCAGTTGCTCAGATTTGGAGTCGATGAGTCAGTACATACCTTTAGCCATGCATCTTAATGGTTCATAATAAGATTAGCTAGCGTTTGCTGCTTGAGCAGTTGCATGAGCAGCCCCATGGTGGCAAACATGGGGTGCTAGTGATGCCAGTTAGAAACATGTTGTTGACGAAAGCAGTGTCAATCGCAAAAGGTGTCTTCCCTAGCTCTCTGCAGCTGCAACTAGCACCAACTCTGGTTGCTGCAGCGCCGTCATCTTCAATAGCACGTGTTGAATGAACATCTGTGGCAGCAGGGGTTTGCCCTGAAACTTTATTTCAATAACTATATTCAGAGCAATATGCTTGTGGGCGCATCTGCACATGGAACACATGGAGTAACACGTGGATTGAAAAAGTTTAAACTGCTCCGGCGTGCCGTCCCCATTTGCAAAGTTCCAGTGACCCATTTGCTTTGAAAGACTTCCTTGGAGCTGCATGTGACTCAGTTGCTCAGCTTTCTTTCCGGCAGTTGAAGCCACTTGAACCGAAGGAGTCAGCGCATAAATTGAGTAGCTCATACGCCTAGCTAGGTTTTACTGCTTGATCGCTTGAATGAACAGCTCTACCTTGGAAAGCATCTTCTGATGATGCTGGATTAGAAACAAGTGGTTGATGAAATTGAATTGTATTAGCTATTTCATTAGTTGAGTTGCAAACTAGTTGCATACCCCTGCAGCTTTGGTTTAGCGAGCACCAGAACTTGTTGCTGCTGCTCTCTGAGATTCCTCTCCAACAGCACGTGCGGAACGAACGCCTGTGGCAGCAACAAGGGCATTGGCTGCACTGAGGCTAGAGTTTCATAACTATGCTCTGCATGACTTGCCTGTTGGCTCATGGGTCTAAAGTGCGCGACGAGCAGCATTTCGAACTGCAGCCACATATTGGACTGTGACAAAGTTGACCCCCAGCTTGAGCAGCAGTATGTGCAATATTAAGAGTTGTTCTTAAACCTTATCACAAACATATGCTTCTTTTTGTGTCGGCTTTGCCATCTTTTGCTTGGCAGTAATTGTTGCTTCACCAAGAGCGAGCATGCAATGTGTTGCTTTGAGGTGTGCATGTTGTTCATGATAAGATGGCATGCAAGACTTTCTAATTGACCAAAGAAAGCATATGGGCTGCATATTCAGCAAACCCATTACACACACGGGAAACAAACATGTGCAGGGCCCTCCGGGCGTCCCGCTCTCTCTCAGTCTCAATTAAAAGGTGTTCTGACTATGGCGCGCATGGGTGCGATTTACATGCTTTGGTGGACATGATTTACATGGGGAGATATGTGTGTCTACGAAGCATGTTTTGAGGGTGGCCCCCATAACAAAACATAGTCATCTCGCTATCGAGCAAACAAGCGTAGCTGAGCTGGATGTGGTGAAAAGCACGTGCTTCCCAAGCTCAAGATGATGGGTTTGAGAATACCCTTATTCTTGCTTGCTCATCCATACCTAGGCTCAACCTTTGCCGCACTTGGCTTTCGCGTAAGGGGAAGGTGCCAGGCATGGTGTGGCAGCCGGGGGGCTTGGCACTTCGAGGCCGTGGACAACACCCGAAGGTACCAACTCCAACGCGAATGGATCTGTGTGTGTGTGTGTGTCGGTCTGGTACCCCCCCAAGGGGCGCTTTCGCTTTAGCCCAAAATGGCATCAACTCCGACAACAGACATACTTGCTGTGGGTCATCAATAGGGATCGCTTTTCTACCACTTTAGTGGCCTTCCCCAAAAGAAAGCAATGCCCAGGCACTTGGGAAGTCACACAGCTGGGCTAGTAGCCCAGCTGATCTGTCGTGCCCCCCAGCCGCACTGTCCTCGTCGTCCAGCATCTTTGTGCCTTCCAGATCTGCCATGTCGCCCCCTCGGGCGGGGTACTCCACACACTTGCCAGATGCCCCAACTGCGCACGCTTCTGGGGCGGATATGCACAGATGGACAACGCCTGGAAGCAAGAAATGAGTTTGGGTGGTGTCGAAATGCCAAGGGGGTCCAGAGTACTGATTCACTGATGGGGCACCCGCCAATTTTCTACGTTCATTCATCCGAGGTGCAAACACAGAGGTGGGGCAGGGGTCGACTTCCCATGCCATCCTACGAGCTGAGGCATACATCCCGGCCCTGCTGCCCAGCTGCCCGGGCTCAAACCCACGGTCCGCATCGCTGGCCGAAACGGCTGCAAACTGAAAACCTTGGGGGGTTGGTGTTGATGCTCCAGTGGATCCCCGAAAAGCGCCAGAGTGCTGAAGGAGGGCAAAAAGGAGTGCGACAGCATGTGGAGTCCCCGGTTGGAGCATCTACAATATGAGATCAACGTGTCAAAGTATTTCATGATCATAGCAGCATATTAAAAAAAGCCCGTCATCAAGTTCCCATAGTGCAAGTGAACCAACCACATCCAACCACAACTCCACGGTAAGTAGGGGGGGATTGTGGCGTTCCCCTGCTTGTGTATATATATATATATATAGTTGCCCTCAGATCACATGGAACTCGACTGACTGGGAGGGACCATGTTTCATGTTTGACAGCGGGCATTCACCAACCCGGCACTTCCATATTTGGCCGAGGCAGGGTCGCAATGTTCTCCCTCGGCTGAAGAAGTTGTGCTTCTCGAAATGAAACATCAGATCTCCTGGTTGGTGGGGCCAAAAGAACCTTTAGTGGGTCAAATGGAACACCCACTAAACCCTAAAAACCTAAACACCTAAGGGGCTGGCTGGGAAACACCAAGAAGGAAGCCATCCAGTTTTGGACTCGACCACTCCCTTCCCACTGCCGGCCCCACACAGAGCGCCGCCGCGCTCGCTGTGCTGCCTCGAAGCAAGGCCTCGTGCACAACTCTCGCTGACAGAGAAGGGAGGAGGAAAAGGGGCAATTCAACCCCTGGTTCTAACCATCTGAGCTTAAGGCCTAAGGCATGGCTGAAACTCCAACCAACCAACCAACCAACCAACCAACCAACCAACCAACCAAGCAAGCAAGCAAGCAAGCAAGCAAGCAAGCAACCAAGCAACCAAGCAACCAAGCAACCAAGCAACCAAGCAACCAAGCAACCAAGCAACCAAGCAACCAAGCAACCAAGCAACCAAGCAACCAAGCAACCAAGCAACCAAGCAACCAAGCAACCAAGCAACCAAGCAACCAAGCAACCAAGCAACCAAGCAACCAAGCAACCAAGCAACCAAGCAACCAAGCAACCAAGCAACCAAGCAACCAAGCAACCAAGCAACCAAGCAACCAAGCAACCAAGCAACCAAGCAACCAAGCAACCAAGCAACCAAGCAACCAAGCAACCAAGCAACCAAGCAACCAAGCAACCAAGCAACCAAGCAACCAAGCAACCAAGCAACCAAGCAACCAAGCAACCAAGCAACCAAGCAACCAAGCAACCAAGCAACCAAGCAACCAAGCAACCAAGCAACCAAGCAAGCAAGCAAGCAAGCAAGCAACCAACCAACCAACCAACCAACCAACCAACCAACCAACCAACCAACCAACCAACCAACCAACCAACCGTTTGGCACTCAATTGCTCAAACCTCCTCTTGGTTCGCCTTAAAAATTGGACCAGAGGTTGGAGTCATTAAAGGTAGGTGCTTGCCACGGAAGCAACCAGTACTTCTTGCACTGGCTGCAAACCAGGGAGCGGACAGTAAACTCGTCCGTGCTTCCCATGCTACCCCTTTCCCATCCTAGCGTTCCCAGCCGAAATGGCTGTTACGCGTCCACGGGTGTTCAGCTTGAACCACATTCATGCAGACTTGATCCGATCTAACACAGATAAGCTCCAAACGTCTAAGGACGCCACATGCAAGTGGTTGACCTTTGCATTCGAATGTCCAATCTTGACTGGGATTCCAAAAGGGACACCTTGGTTCATCTTGAAAGGAAATATAATGGTGTGTGTGTGTGGGATTCCTTTGAACATGAACCACGGACTCTGACATCTGAGTACTTTTCACACAGCCCAAGAACGGCCCGACCTTTTTTTCCCAGCGAGCTCACTCCTCGGCTTTGCTGGCCTGCGCGGGATCAATGCTATTCTCCATAGAGAACCGCCCATCTGGATGTTTTTTTCAGGGGACCCCCCAAAATGGTGGTGTTCCCTTTAGTGTTCGTTTAAACCAACCCCAAAACGGGTACCCTCAACAAAAGCGCGCACCCATCTGAATACATCACCAATCGCAAAAGCGACTAGTTCACACAAAAGTGGGTTCAAGGGCCACTCACAGGAAGGAGCCATCACCTTTCGCTTGCAGACAGTGACTGGAAGCCCCTGTTGGTTTGTGTTGTGATGTCAAACTGGATTTCCTACCATCGTTTGGGGTGCGGGTGTTTTCAAAACTAAGGGAACCCGTCTTGGCCTTCAAACCGAAAGTGGGATGCCCAAAAAAGTGCTGCCTTTTTCCACCATGCTGGTCAAAACTTTCTCTGTGGTTCATGGGCACGGCTCCCTTAATAGGAACCTTTGTGATGGTTGGAAAAAGCCCTAGTAAAAGAGGCATGACCCTTCCTACCAGGCACAAATGACCATCCCTGATAGTCCCAAAAACGAATCTGTGTGTGTCGACATGCTTTGACCGCAGCACACTTGGCTCCTTTTGGCTCGCGCGGATGAAGCAAGCCCCCTGCTGTTGCAGGCTTTGGCTCACTGCCGGCCAGTGCGCGGCATCTCGCGGTCCCACCTTGGATCCACAAAACCCACAAGGGAAAAGGGGATGGTTCAGCAGCAATTCCGGTCATTCCCTGAGAACCAAGTTACAAAACCCCCTCGACGTCCCACTAACCCCAAAAGGATATCAAGTAACCTGAAAGCTGAGCTTTTGGTGGGGAATAGTCTAGAGATCCCAAAGTCCTGCGGTATGGCTGGGAACTGCCCGGAGTAGTGGACATGAGAGAATTGTGCTAATGCGGGACGGTTGGCAAGTCACCACCCCGTGGCTGTTGAACATTTGGTGGCTTAGCCTGCTTTGTGTGGGATACTTCGTGACCATATACTGGATATGTTGACTGGCCCTGACAATCCGCCAAAAAAAAGTGTATACACTTCTATTTGGCTTAGCGGTTGGGTGCCACATAAATCGGCCATGCTGCACATTTATCGGCCACCCTTCACTCAAAAGTCAGAACGACCTCCGGATGTCCGCGGGAGATGGCGCAAGGCCGAGGTCTTTGCCTGCCTCCTGCTCGTCCGTCTCGCTGGACGACAAGTTCCCTCCAAATTAATGAGCCCCCGAGGAAGAAAAAAACATCTCTCGAACATAACGGGCTTTGGGGCGCATGGCCATGTTCTTGCAAATCAGAGCCCTCTGGCTCAGGCAAAGGAAAGTCAGCCCTCACGAAGGTTAGCCTGTATTGGCCAGGGATGGGAGGCAGGCTGATAGTTTGACCGACCCTCCTGGGTGCTTCACTTGAAAACACCACCTCAGAAACAGAGCAAATCCTACTTCAAATGGTTTATGTCCAGTGGCCATGAGAAAAAAAAGGCCACCCCTTTTTGCCGCAGTTGCGAACAAAAGGGAAGCAACCCAGTCGCATCCAAGCTGCCATCAGCGAAGCCAAGACTCGCAGATGGCTCTGCCCCAGCTCCTTGGACCCGAACTTGGAAGCTCTGTGGCAAGGGTTTCCTCTTTCCCTTTGTAGGTGGCCGAAGCCTTTTCTTGTCTTTTGGCCTCCTTAAAACCAAAAGCTCTCAAGGCTCCAACCGAAGTGCTTTTTTTGTTGCCTTTCTTTTGGCCTCCTTAAAGCCAAAAGCTCTCAAGGGACACACTGCCAAATTCCAAGGCTTGGGTCTCCAACCGAATTCCGCCCGTTGCCAGGTGGGACGTAGGCTGTCTCAAAATTAGACATGTGATGCAAAGGAAAACCCTGGAGATCGCGGCCGTCCTGTTGGTCCCTTCAAACTCATTGTCACTTCTAATTGGTGGTTTGGAGTGGGGTCCCATTTACCTTCTACAAGAACCAGGGGTTCAAAATCCCAAACCGCCAATTCAAGCCAAGCTGATAAACCAATCTGAAAAGGGTGCCCCAAAAAGCACATCACGCCCCGATATCCTTTGGGTTGCAGACGTGCCATGTAGAGAGACTAAAACAATATATTGGCGGCCCTGGAACAGTTGGCTACACTGGATTTGCGTCTAAAAATGAGAGACCCATTTAGCATGGGCTGTTTCTTTTGCTTTCCTTTAACCATCCGAAAGGAGTGTCAGCGTTTTGAGGCCGAATACATGCCTGACAATTTCCCCACCAGAAACCAAGAGGGGCACTGCCGTTAAACTGGAACTCAGTTTCCCTTACAAACAGCCAAGCAAATGGCAACTTCGATTTTAGCTGTCCCTTGACACACCCTTCGAGAGAAGTACCTCATTGCTGCAAACTCCCAAATGATAGGTGGGCTCCGGTTGGTTTCCCTTTTAAGCACCCTCTTGAAGTAGCAGTACCTCCTTTTTGGAGGAAACAGGCTGGCAAAAAACCTGGTACTTTTAGTGCTTTTTGTTTTTCGGCTATGATATGTCGAGTTGCAGTTGTGAGGGGGTGGGTGGGGGGTGGGGGGGGGTGGGGGGTGGGGGGGGTGGGGGGGGGGAGGATGTTACCGTCGTTACGAAAGGCTTACGCGCACACGAACACACATGCCAGTGCACACAGGTTGATGCATGGCCAATGTTGGTTGCAGATGCTGGCAAAAAGCGTCTGGAGAGCCACCAATGTCCAACCCAGCAAACATGAGCTTGCTAGAAGAGTCTCTGTGAAGAGAGCACGCAAACGACCCATTTGCAGCATAGGTGGCAATCATTGCAAGTCTATACAACAACCCAGCTTCACTCCAATGTGTTTCGCCATACGCACAGCTTGTTTGGAGCATCGGCTTCTGATTGGGACGGATTTCAGCCGTGACCGTTGGCTGCAGCTTGTTGGTTCAGATTTTTGAGCAATTGAACTGCAACTACGCAAAAAACATTGGGTTTTTAGCCATTTATGCATGAAAACAATGCTGTCCTAATTCTCCCGTTCACTGCCAAGCATGAGCCAGAGATGATAAATTGCAGAAAATCCAGGGGAAAACCCGTGTGACCCAGCTTTCGCCCCCAGGTTTTTTAACAGCCTGTGACCTTTTTGGACACCCCTGACCCGACTTGCTGCGACCACCTCGAGCTTGACCAACTTGACAACCGGGTCCCCAAAATAATATGTATGGCCGGCGCCGGGAAGATAAAAGGGGGCCCGAATGTGGACATCCCCGCAGCTGGCAAATGCTATATAAGTTATATACATGAGACGAACATGTGGGGGCCTGGGGGCCCCATCTTCAGGGCTCCTGATTGGGTTGGAAAGGGTTTCCCAAAAGGAAGGGGCTATGGGTGGCTTTGCTTTGGCTTCCTAAAGGCAGCCCAAAAAGGGGGCAACACTCACACGTTTCCACAAAGGTATTAAAGTCGGAAAACCAACAAAAAAAGCCGCCCATAGGGGAGGTTCCCTATCTGCATTTCAAATGGGCACCCTTTGGTGGAAATCAAAAGGTATGTAGGATATTATGGCGCAGCAACCATTTTCGCGGAGGTTCCCCATTCAAATTCATAGCTTAATGGTCCAGAATGTGTGTGTGTGTGTGCATTCTTCCCGATAGAGCCACCAAGGGATAGCAGGGATGGATGCGATTGATGTTCTTGGTTTAGTTTCCATCGTGTTGGTTTCGCACACGCAAACAACTCAGCCGAGCGGCGTAGGGCCCAGTGCGATGCAGCACGCGGCCCTCAAAGAGCAGACACTCACTGGGCGCGTAGCCTCGGTCGTGGCTCCCAAGGTTTTTCTTCAGCGCCCCTCACGTTGGACCCAACTCCCTCCAGGGTTCCCATATTCCTGGAGCCCTTAAAAACCACCTCTTCGCAGCAAAAGGCCACTGAATGGCCTTTTGGTCCGCCCTGGCCAGCAACATTCTCTGTCACAAGGGTGATTTCACTGGGGGTAGCGACTGACATTGCGCATGGCATCCTCAGGCAGAGATCCTTCAAATTGCAGGTGTTTTTCGGTGAGAAACAGCCAGCTGGCCACTGAACAGGAATGAAGACGGGATTATCATTCCATTTCTTTTTACGAAAAGCCCTCCGGGGGTCCCAACCCAATTTTGCACACTGCCGTCAAACATGCTTCTTGTGAGCACGAAATGTTTTGGGGATGTGGAAAACTTCCCGTCGACGCCCGCATTTCAAGCCCAGCCCAAGTGCAAAGGAGCAGCGATGCTCAACCACGCGGAAATTCTTCCAGGCCTCTTTGGGCACGGCGCCCTGAAGCAAGGAAGGCCTTCGACTTGACCCATAATCCAGGGGACCAGTTTTGTCAGTAGAGCCCTGGAAGAATAGGGTGCTTCCCCAAGCCTCAAATGCAGCACCTATTAATCAAGCAGGTGTTTTGTACAGTCTTGGAAATGCTCAATCATGAGGGGATCCAAAAGGTAAACCCCGAGGGCAGGGTTTGGCCAATCAAGATGGCTTTTCCACCATCAGCTATGTTGCTGTTTCTTTCTCAACCGGACAGAATCAGGATAGGGGCATGCAAAAGGCACTCCAAGCATGGTCTGTTTGTGGCATTGACAGACCCTGGTTGTTCTTTGATTTCTGTTCAGGTTGACCCCTCTGTAATGGCTTGCGGAAAGTTCTCGCGGACTGAGTAAGTTTCGTCCACGTTCCCAAAACACCTGCCCATCCTGTCACTGTTTCAAGGGATGCCAACATGGGTTTCAGCCATTTGTGCCAGATCTCTATCAAATCATCTAAGCGTCGGATATCAATTTGCATCCGCAGACCCTTTCGCATCCTTGTTCGGGGCCAAAAGGGCTCCCGCGCACTTCCGCAGTGCGTGCTTTTCACGTTTGCTTCCGCGTGCTTCTCGCGGCTCATGCTTTGCAAGCTTTGCTTCCGTGAGAGTTGGTGCAGGAAGGAGAAGAGATCCTTTCTCAAAACTCTGCATGCGGCGCCGTGCAGATTCTCAAGAATAGCATCCCGCTCCCCGCTACGGAGCCAAGAGGGTCAAGTGAAAGGTCCCTATTCGTGTCTTGTGGGGACCTGTCAGTGACCGAGGAAAAGGGGGAGAACATTGGAAACCACAGGGGGAGAATAAAGCATGGGGCGAACATTGGGACCATGGGAAACATTGGACGCCACTGGGAAACAACATTGCGAAAATGCTGGAAAACAGGGGACATTGGAAGTGATTGGGACAACATTTGAAACCATGTGGAAAGTATGAGAAAACATGGGGGGGACATTGGAAGCCATTGGAATAACATTGACAGCCTGCAAACATTCGGGGGGGGGGGGGGGGGGTGGGAAACCATGGCAAAAAACATTGTCAACAACATGGCAAACATGGGGGGAACGATGGGGACAACATTGGAACCCGTGGGCAAAACATTGGGAAAATATGGGAGAAACATGGGGGAACATTGAAAGCGAACAAGACAGGGTCAAACGAAAGGCTCCCCACTTGTGCCTGGCAATAACCTTTTCCAAACAAGGCATCACCAGGCACCTTGTACGACCCATATAAGAAACTCGGGCCCCCCTCCCCCCCCCAAATGGGTGGTTTCCCCGTGTTGATTTCCTTTGAGAACCGCACTCGGCATCCCCGTGTTTGGTGGTTTCAAAAGGAAACCCAAAAGGAATACCACCATTCTGCGGGGGGGTCCCTTATCAGAAAAAAAAAAAGCTTACGCCCATTTTGCTCGGTGCCACCAGGCCTCCGCCTCCGTCGCCTCGGCCACCGCCCGCGTTGCCGACGCCTCCGCCGCAACCTCCGCCGCCCGGAAGAGCTGCGCGTTCCGCGACTCGAGGAAGAGCTGCGTCCCGCCGAGGCCGCGCCACGCCTCCGCATCCTCGGCTCGGTTTCAAGGAGACCCGTTCGGCCCGTTTCCGGGCTTCCCCATAGGAGTGGCTCAAAGGAATCGGAGCCCAAAATGGTCGGCTTCCTATGGGGTCCCTTTGAAACCAAAAAAAGGTGGTGATATTGAAATTGGACGCGGCCACTTACTAAGCCTGGCTCAGCACAATGCCTCCTCTCATGTGCCTCTAAGCTGGTTGGGTGGAACCCTTGTTTCAAAAACGCAACAAAACGGAGCACAGTCAGGGCATGACTATGACATCAAATCATGGGGTACAGGGAATACCTCCCCACAAGACACGCAACAAAGCACAGTCAAGGCGCAACAATCACATGAAATTACGGGGAATGTACAGGGATCAGGGATCACCAAGTAATTGCAGCTGTGGCCCGATTGGTTGCCACAAAAAGCGTATTCTAAGTCTACAAGTTTCTGCCAATGGAAACGCAGCTTGACGCGACTTTGCTGGCAGCTTTCCCCACTGGTAGTGACTTCGCAGGCGGGTTGGGGGTTAGGGAGTAGTGGGTAGGAGGATGCCGAACTCGATCTGGCTGGAGACGCGACTGCTGAAGTTCGAGTAAGAGTGAAGACACCTACATCTTGTGAGCTTCATGGCGTGTGCTTGAACATCTCAGCCATCGGATCGTTCGCTCATTGGCCAATGCTAGCATGGCCATTGGTTTCTCATTGGCTGACCCCCAAAAACCCAGCGAGTCAAGCATCCTATTTTTGTTGAAGGAGCGCAGGTGTCCGTGTGTCTGAGAGTCCAAAATCCTTCCTAGCACGGAAGCTTTGTGGGAATCTAGCCTTGAACTTGCCATGCCCTGCTCCACAACGATGAGGATCCCTTTTTGAAGGCTGATGCTACGTTCCCAAAGGCTTATCCTTGCCGTGGAGGTAGACCTGCTTTTGGAAAAGCAAATGGCACTGGTAAATGCTTGGAACCAAGCTGACATACATTCCATCTGCTTTCATTCGCAAATGGTTTACCATTGGATGGAAACCGTTATAGTGCTGGATGGCACCAAACTAAAACCCGTGAAATCCGTTGATGCCGTGCCAGAACACACCCAAAAGGCTCCGGTGCCAATCGCGCCGAGCTGCTTGTGGCCACACGGGCACCAGGAATGTCCAGCACAGCCCCTCGGGGATGCCGTGCCAGTCCACGTGCCACTTGGAGTCCTCGAAACATGCCACTTGGACGGAAGCGGAAGCTGCTGCGTTAGGGGTGTTTGACGCCAAAGGGGGACAAGGAAAACCCAACTGAAAGGTTTCCAAGGGTTTGGCTGCAAGCAATCCCGAACAGGTCAAAAGGATCCGGGAGAACAAGCTGGAACAGCACTGCGACTGTCTCAAGTCTGAAATGTGCGTTCTCCCCATATGCGTTCGGGGAATTCATGGATCAAGAGGAGCGCAGAAAACGAAAATATGGCAGCGGGGCAAACATGTGATTGTTCAAGCTGCGGCGTTAAGAGTGGCCCTAGATTCCTAGATGAAGTGGACAATGTCTTGGTAGAACAACTCACTTTTTGACCCATCGACAAATTCGCCAGTTTGTTTCTGCTCCTGCACGCTCTCCTCAATAATTGTCAGCGAAGCCGTGTAGAGCCTGAGAATCACACAGCCATGGTCGAAGTTCTCACGGGTGGAAGCACACCTGGCTCCCATCAACCAGGTGACGTAAGGGCCTGGCCTGAGAATCCCATAGAGCCGCTGACGGAGCGGGGAAAGTTGATGGCGGTTTCTTGGAAATAGGCCTGCGACATTTTTGCGTGGTGTGGGACCACGGCCATGGTTCATAGGAGGTTGTTTAAACCCCCCTATTGAGGGGTTCATGACCATCCCTACCACCCCGGAGTAAAAGGGCTTCTTGACCATGGCACACATGAGCCGCGGACAATGTTACTTTGACAACAGGATTCAATTGGGTAGGCTGGACCCCCTGTGTCTTTGGTGTGAAAATAGGGGATATTGTGTAGGCCTCCCATGTCCTCTCCAAATGGACAGCCGGCTACCACTCACTAGGAGCATGTGTCCAGCTGCTCTTGACGGGTGTCCCGGATTTTAGGGAAGTTATAACAAATGTGAATGGGTTATTACCAGGGTTAATAGTTACTATTCGATCACCTCCTGAAGTACAGGCAAGCAATCTGTCGAGGGGCCCATGTTGGCCCAATTTTGGGGCTGAGACGCATGAGCTGATCACGCTGAGGCAGCTGTTCCATCAACGTCTCCGCCAAGCTGTCAAACTCCTGAGTCGATGCTGACCAATCAATTCCGTGGTTTATGGATCCATTCCAAGGATTGTTGCATCCCTCTTCCAACCATGGAAGCGGACAAGGGACCAAGAGAAAGTCTTCCGGAGCCCTGTCCACTTCCATGATGGTTGAGAGAAAACAACTGTGGGATTACACCCTGAGGAAATGACCCCCAGCAAGCTGCAAGTTGAGAAGAAGTTCCCGGTGTCCACTGGCCATCCTTGGGCTGCTTGTTTACAGTAATGTTGACACGCTAGCGCCCAAAATCCATTGACTGCTGATCTTACTTCAAGATGCTTATAAAACTTTCTTCAGGCCAAGCCCAGCGAAACCAGGTGGTAGAACCACCTATTGAGATTGCCTATACGTGGTACGAGGTGTTTTGGGCGCTGCTCACCTGATGAATCCCGAAGAGGGCAAAATTCATCCGGGCTACAAGTTCTGCACGAATGACTGCAGCAGCCCAGGGTCGAAACTCATTGGGGCATGATGCTGGCTGCCTTCAGACATTCGGGTCCAATACAAATGTTCCTCCTTGTGGCTTGGTTCTTGTTTTGAGGATGGGAGAAAACATGTGAAAGCAAATCTTATCATGGTCGTCAGCTCGGTCAGAACTATCCCCAGAAACCCCAAGCAAGGTCGTTTCACCAAGGCACACCTCTGGGCATGCCTCGGGCATAGAGAGAGAGAGAGAGGGAGGGAGACAGACAGACGGACAGACACCGAGATGAGAAACAGAAAGACAAAGAGACAGAGAGACGGAGGCAAACAGTGAGACAGACAGGAACACACAGAAACGCACAGAGATGCGCGCAACACACACACACACACACAACACACAACACACAACACACAACACACAACACACAACACACACCCACACACAACACAACACGCAACACAACACGACGACACAACCCAACACAACCCAACCCAACACAACACAACACAACACTCAGACACAAACGCACTCGCAAACGCAGACTCAGAAACAGACGCGCAGTGCCAGACACAGTCACACACAAACACAGACACAGACGCAGACGCAGACGCAGATACAGGCAGGGACACACACACACACACACACAGGTACAAAACACACAGACACCCAGACACACACACACACACATCCAACAAAAACACCTACATACCGCGGCGGATAAGGCCCAGCGGCGGCAACGGCATCTTCATCATCGGCCCAAAGCCAGGTCTGCCCACTCACCATGCCAGAGCACTCTGCGATGAAGCTGCCTGAGTGATCCCGTCATCTGCTTGACAGCACAGGACCCGAAGCCAAGACCTCCCAGTTAAGGAGGTCATGAGCCCTAGAGCCGAAATATTCGGCGAATCTTCAAGCCCCGCAGAGCTAAAGGTTGACTATAATTGAGCATTAAGCTGTGCTTCCCACATTCTTTCCAGTGATGCCTCTTTCCAAACAATGGCCAACCACAGGAAAATCGGTGGTTTCTGCGAAGACCAATGCATGAGCAAATGGGAGATCGACCTTTAGATGCAAGCCCTGCGACATGACTTTTGGCGTGCAAGAAATTCTGATTCAATGACATAAATGGTGCTGTCCGCCTTTGGCATAGGCACCCACCCGCAGAAAGAAAATTGCACGTCCGAAGAATGGGTGCCCCCTCAAACTGGCGAGGGTCGGCTCGGTGTTCTGCATGGTGTGTCTTTGAACATCAGACAGTTTTGAGGCGTGTTTCTCTTTGGGGGCTTTGGAGGCGGGGGGGGTTTGACGTAATGCAATCGTAGCATGTGGCTTGGTTTGGGTTGGGGACTTTTGACCTTGGGTTTTGCCGCTTCCACTGCTTCAACTGGGGCACAAATGGACAAGGGGTTAAGTCTGTGTGGGGGTTGCCGGGTATCTTGGCAGCCCGCCTTTGGGCCGAGAGCCCAAAGCCACTTTGCTTCAAATGTTGGGGCACAGCTTGCCATTGGAAAAGGACTGACCCCTTTTGGAGGGCGAAAACGCCCACAACCCTCCCGAAACACAAAAAAATAACCCAGATCAAAAACCAAAACCGGCGCCCCAAACCCGCGCCGCCGACTCACTCGCATCCGAGCCACGGCCGCCACAGCGCTTGAGCCCGTGCAGCCCATGCCTGGGGCATGCCCGCCAGTCCTCGCTGGGCGCCCAAAGCTGCGCCGCTTTTTTCCACTGAAAAGTGGCCCTGGAAATTGCAGAGGTTCTGGACATTTGCGGGGGGTTCCTTTGAAACCATTTACAGGGGCGATTGTCTGGCGGGGGGTTGAAAGTTTTCTGGGCCTCTTATGAAACCCCTGCAAGAGAGCCACCGTCGGTTCCTACACCCAAGTTTCTTCCCGAGCCCCTTAAACTCGATGAATCCCTAGAAAACCAACCCGGACTGGTGGGGGCACCCAAAAACCCCTTTTTGAAGACTGGTCCAAAACGGTCCATTAAAGCATCCTCAAAATATCTCAAACAATTATTCCCTTGTCCGGTGGCTTGAAGAAAACCACCCACTTCAAGCCCACCTCCCGAAAACTCCGCCCACTCGATGTTTTCCAGCAGTCCTCTGGCTCCATCTGCAGCAGCTTCCGCAGACCCGCCTCGGAAACTCAGATCTGAAAACCAATCGGTATTGAAACGGTCTACCCAGAACTATGCAAGTAAGTCACAAGGCGGCTGCACTTTTGAGTCCATTTATGGCTGGGATGATCTGAAAACATCACCCTAGCAAGGGAAGCTTACCTTAAATGGGCCAAGGCGATGCTTAAGACCACCAGCCGGAAAGGTCTCCCCCCCAAGCAGTGAGCTCGTTCTACCTGTGTGCAGATTGGTGCTTAACATTGTGCCTTTCAGCTCCTTGCGCTTTGGCAAGGCACGACCTCGTCCGCCGGAACCGTCACCGCGACTGCCGGATCTTGCTTCCTGCGAAGAGCAAGGCGAAGGGAGACTCCCTGGAAGTATGGCAACTTGCTTAAGCGGCAAGGGGTCAGGAAAAATACAAGCCTGTCGTGTCAAACTCCGATGAGACATGAGCAGTTTGCCATGGGTGCGATGCTGCCTTAGAATATGTTTTTTTCTGTACACGAGTTTCTTCCAAGGGGGCTCAGCAAGCCATGGCTCAATTCCTGATTCTCCCCTTTGAAAAAAAGACATGCCCCCAAGGAAAGCACTAAAACACAATGATCATGTTTCACTGCTTCCCGCGGGGTTTGGGCTTGGGAGAAGCTTTCATAGACATGACAAGAGAATTCAGCAGGCCATGCAGCCTTGAAAGGTAGCCAATCTGCAAACTTGGATGACCATTCGGCCATCAAAAACTTGTAGACCATGTTTGGCGGACGTGAAAAGGGAAACCAACATGACCATAAAATTACCAGGCTCCGCGTTCAGCCCATCCACTTGCAACGTCACCTGCACGAGCTCCTATATGTCAGCAGCATGAATCAGGGAATGTGGGCCCGGGGCCCCAACTCATTTTGCCGGCAATAAGTGCACTCGCTCACTAGTGCAGAATCATTTCTCGGGGGGGAGACTAAGTCGTTGTTGGAAACATTCATTCGGTACCTCCCCAATTCCAATATGTGTATATATATATATACAGTCGGATGGGCTAGGCACATCAACTGTTTTGAAATGTGCTTCACTCCTATGAGACAAAGTCGATGCGACCGGGTCACATCAGGGTCACATCACCTCCACGTTTAGGTTGTGTTTCATCATTTGAAGCACGCTGCAAGACTGATGCCAATAATCGCAAACTACACTGGCTTGCTTGTCACTGCAATCAGCCGAAGCCCATTCTTGAATGTTGTTCTTCCAGGCGTCCTGGGACATGTGCCAGGTACGCCAGCGGAAGCACGTGGGGCAGGTGATCCTTTGCACATCGCACATCCGTTAGACATGGGAAGTGTGTCCTTGGGTTCAGGGTGTCCTTTTTTTGACGCTTGTTTTGAAGAAAGCTCCATATCCTGTTGTGAGAACAAATCACATCGATCACAAGGTGCCCAGAACTACAAGCAGGTCACTGCTATCTCGGCATGCCCTACTGCATGTGGCTACGGGCTGCCAGGGAAACTAGCCTCAATGTGCTATTTACCAGCAGTGCAGCGAACGTTTGCTTGCTTGCTGCTTGCTTGCTTGCTTGTTTGCTTCTTTTCGTGCTTGCTTGTTCTTGTGTTGGCTTGCTTGCTTGTTCTTTGCTTAGTGCTTGCTTCTTCCTTTGTTTGTGTGTTTTTGTGTGTTGTTTGTTCGCTCATTCGATCGTTCGTTCGTTCGCTCGCTCACTCGCTCGCTCGTCGTTCCTGCAGTGGTTGAGTCTGTCTTTGCGTGTTTGATAAACGATTGCTGGCTTTGCTTATTTGCCTGCTTGCTTGTTTGGCTCGTTGTTTTTTGTTTGTCTGTCTCTCTCTGTCTCTGTCTCTGTCTCTGTCTCTGTCTCTGTCTCTGTCTCTGCCTCTGTCTCTGTCTCTGTCTCTGTCTCTGTCTCTCTGTCTCTGTCTCGCTGTCTTTCTGTCTCTCCGTCTCTCTGTCTCTCTGTCTCTGTCTCTGTCTCTGTCTCTCTGTCTCTCTGTCTCTCTGTCTCTGTCTCTGTCTCTGTCTCTGTCTCTGTCTGTGTGTCTCTCGGCCTCTGTCTGCGTCTGTCTGTTTGTCTGTGTGCCTGTTTGTCTCTTTGTTTGCTTGCGGGCTTACTTGTTTGCTTAAGTGGTTTGTGTGTTTGTTTGTCTGCTGGCTTGGTTGGTCGGTTGGTCGGTTGGTCGGTTGGTCGGCTGGTGGGTTGGTCGGTTTGTCAGTTTGTCGGTCAGTCGGTTGGTTAGTTAGTGGGTTGGTGTTTGTTTCTTTGAAAACCAAACATATTGGCTTTAATTGCTTCGACGGCAAAGGTCTTGCCACTAGAGTTTCTGGTCTGATTGCAGTTCTACATACACTGCAGATTCACATAGAACGCCCCCTCTCCCCAACAACACAACAACATGTTTGAGACCGAATTAATCTGGTTTTGGAGAAAGGGTCCAAACTGGTTCGGACAACCCTCATGTATTTCACACGTGCAATTTTCACACAAAGGAGCCGCGCGCACACATACACAGACAAACAAATATGCTTATTGGCGATTTGGTTGGCTTCCTTCTGTCAATTTGCAGGGGAGTAGTTCAAGTTGCCCGCACGCCCTGAATAGGCCTGCGGCCTAGACAGGAGCTGTCATGGAAACCCAAAACGGAGCTCCCTCAAAGGAGACGGTCCATTGCAAATGCGGCAGCCGTGTCGTGTTGTCGTGTTCAAATTCAATAATTTCAATTTTCAGGAGAGGGGATCGGTCTCAACCTCACGCAAGCCTAGCACAAAAATCCGTAGACCCCAGTGGTTTGGACTGCTCCCACCTTATGGGCGGCCTTCCCGTGACCTCGGGTGGCTCGTCCGGGGCCAGACTTAGACCTCCTGCAAACAAGTTGTTGTTTTGTGCTGGTCGGAGGGAATGAAGCAAAGCACAGAGGCAAGATAGGCAAACAAGTAAGAAGAAAAATAAGAACGCAATATTGAAAGGCTTGCGCCAGGTTCCCTCGCTCACCCGAGCCAAGGCTTGCTTCCGAGCCGCGGGACCTGCGCGCGCGGCGTCCGCACAGGGCAGCCCAGGCCATGACGGTGCAAAGCGCCGAGGTGCCGAGGCTTGCGGCATCTAACAAGGCGCCCTCGGTGGTTGTTGAAGTCAGTGGAAAAGATAATAGTGACATGTTGGCATAGGACTGGGCATGTTGGGAAGAGCTTGGAATCCTTCAAGTGGAAGCTTCAGCACCATATGGATACATGAGTTCGGCTTCTCCTATGTTGAGCGGAAGCGTTTCGGTGGACTTTCCTTGTCCCTTGCAACCAGCAGGTCAGGTTGTGTCAGATTGTGTTAGGAAAGACCCACTGCCCCCCTCCTTGGATGCTGTAATTGACAAATCTCCGTCACTCGTCTCAACCAAGCAGTACCTCCACAGTGCAAATCGTGTTAGGCTATTTCAGGTTCGAGTGAAAGCTGAAGGACGACGCGTTCACCAAGTTCAAAGGCATCTTGGCACTCTATGACTGACGCCGCCCACTGGCAGCTTTCATTCTGGGCTCAGTGGAGCAATCAATGCCCAACCTGGCATGCAGATCTACAATGCATCCAGCCTTCACACTTTGGCCCTCTGAGGCATAGTGCGACCTCTGCGCGATGGCTACGTTTCTTCCCTCCAAATCTAAAGAGGCTTCCTCGAAAT